AGAGAAGAGAAGAGAAGAGAAGAGAAGAGAAGAGAAGAGAAGAGAAGAGAAGAGAAGAGAAGAGAAGAGAAGAGAAGGCTACACTTTCCTTCATCAAAGACCAGAATTTTCTGGCCCCAGTGTCTATGACTTAACCCTATCTCATTCATAGGATTCCTTTGCTTAAGATCTTAAACATTGTTGGAGAACATTCTGTACATTAATTTTCTGTTGTTGTTATTTACAATTTATTCACTTTGTATCCCAGTTGTAGCCCTCGTCCTCATCTCCTCCTGGTCCCACCCTCCTTTCCTCTTCCTCCCTCCCTCCCTCTTCCTCCCTTATTCCTCTTCCCTGGTCCACTGATAGGGGAAGTCCTACTCCCCTACTCTCTGACCTAACAGGTCTTGTCAGGAATGCTTAGATCCTCTTCCTTTGTGGGCTGGCTAGGTGGCCTCACCACTGAGAAGTGATCAAGGAGCAGGCAACTGAGTTCCTGTCAGAGACTGTGGTATATTTACACAACGGAATATTACTCAGCTATTCTGCTTTATTTTTAAGCGACTCACAACAGACTGCTTCACAGAGAACTGGCTCACGCTTAAAAGCTCTTACAATTCCAGAGTCGTGTTATGAAGAAGAAAGAAACATGCTGGGCTCCATCTTTCAGAATCTCACTCTCTATATTGATCTGAGGACCAACACACTGACTGCCAAATCTCCTGGGCTGATGTGAAAAAACCAATTGACCCGGAGGCTCTCCCAAGCATAGCTCACAGGGTACCCCCTGGGAGGCCTACCTTCAGAGGCAGCACCTCCTTGTTTATAGAAAAAAAAGAAGCCATGGCTTTGGTCCAGGAACAAAGCCCAGCTACATTCCCACAGACGCGTTTGGCTGTCTCAATGTTGTAGTCGGCCATTTCAAAGTAAGGATTCAAAAATTCTATCACTTCTTCATTGATCGTGTCTTTGGGGAATTGCTGTGAAAGGAAAATGTAAAATGATGTCAAAATACTTATTTTATGGTGTATATCTGAATTCACATTCTGCTTTCAATGTAACTGAAACTAGTAAGCATAACAAAGCTAGAAAAATCATATGGGTTTATTTTTGGTCAACATCTTAATACTGATTGAAAGTATTAAAGCTGAAAGTGTGGAATGATTGCAAAAGAGGTCTTCCATCATGCACTCTGTCCCCAGCGCAGACATCAGTCTTTGTTAAATACGCTGGCTCTAGCCAAAGAGTAAAGTATTTAGGTGATGATGAACACTAATACAGTTATTAGAATTTCAAAAGCAATAAAAACTTCTTTCCATTAATACTAAATAGGTGAATTATAAACCCATAATATCAACAATGAAAAACAAACAACACAGCTATATTCAGGCTAAGGACATATAGATTTAGCATTTATCAGCAACTAAATGCTTAATAGAGTCAGACAGAAGTTCTATTAAATTCACATAAAATGTGAGAGTAATAACTTGGACATTGCACCTTGAGAATGATGTATTAATTTTTAATCATAGAGCTATCACAAATATGAGAGAATTATTATCTCCTGGAGAAATATAATTTTAAAACACAGCAGAAATGGATTTAGAATGCCTTCCTGCACCAGGAAGGAAAGTCCAGCCATGGTGAAATTGGATGTTAAAAAATAATGTTTTCTCTTCTAAAAGGATTATTATTTTCCAAGTAGAAATAAATCTAGCAACTAGTAATTAAATGGAATAAACCTGCACAAAACATGTATATATATGAACATATATATGTATATGCATATATGTATGCATATTATGTATATATGAATACGTATACATATAACAACAATTAATGAAAATGGAGACTATGAATTTGAAAGAGAGCAAGTAGGGGTGTACATGAGGGTTTTGAGGGAGGAAAGAAAATAGGAAGATGATGTAATTATATGTTCAAAAAAATGAGTAGAATACCCTCTCATTCTGACCTTGCATGTCACAAGTCTCTTTCATGAGACTTAGAAAATAGTAGAGACAGTGCTCCCACAAGCAGTGATCTTCCAGCAAACTCACAAGGGGAAATCTGTAGTCATTCACAAGGAATGTGTTCAAAGTCCAATCTCCCTGTTACTATCTCACAGCTACCTGAACAAGACTATGGCTGGCTGATTTCATAAACTACTTATTTGTACAGCAGAGAGAAAGCACCTTCCAGTCCCATCGCCTCACCAGTCACTTGAATGACATTGAATTGAAAACTGAAGAAAATATGGTGCTAAAGTTGTAGCCTGTGGAATGGATGTGGATTAGGTATTTCCACTTGGTTGTCTCAAGGTCTATATCTGGTAAATAAGACAGCAAAACTTCTGGAAGAAAATGTAAAAGGTTTTATTCTTCCTCAGAAAGAAGCCAAGATCTATATGGAACACAGAAAGTGCTATTAAACAGAATATTAATAAGAAGTCCTACATTAAGATTAAGAACCCCTGCTTAGCAAAAGATAGTACTAACAGAGTGAACAATTAAGCCAGGAAGTGGTTGGAGATATTTGCAGCATTTGTAAAGTATTTGAGATCTAACAGACAAGCAACTTTAGCAATGGGCTGCAGAGATGGCTCAGTGCTTTAACAGTACTTGCCACTCCTGCAAAGGACCTGCATGCCTCACACCCAGGAGGTGGCTCAGCCATCAGCAACTACAGGTCCAGGAATTTGACTTTCTTTTCTGGCCTCTGTGGGTACCAGACACACACATACATGCAAGCAAACACTCACACACATAAAATAAAAATAATTGTGTCTTTAAAATTAGTATAATCCCTAACTGCATTGTATATATTTGTCCTGATACCCAGAGAATAGTCGTTTCTCTTCATCAAAGAAACTTTTCTTTGTAACAGAGATCATTACATAAAACCACAGCAGATTATAATGCAGAGTTGTATAGGCCAGCCCCAATGAATCCAGTTACAAAACAGAAGAGGAGGTAAATTTATTGTAAGAGACAAAGAATCAGAAAGTGTGCTGTGAGGTCATGTCTCCTAGGAATACCAGAAACTACACCCACAAAGTCTCATGACCCACATGGCTGCCCAAATGTGAGCTGAACAAGAAGGACACCAGTAGACACACGAAAGTGGACAAGAGAAACTCCATATGAGCCTTAACTCTACACAAGGAACTACAGGTGACCAAGGAATTCTGAGAGTGGGGGAAATAGTCTTCCCCAGGAGAGAGGAACCCAATTCTAAATGGTTAGCCTGAAAACACATATAGAAGTAACATTATACAGACTGAGCAGGTTGTACTTCTGTATTTAGTGTTATATATGTATATACATATATGCATAGAGCAACAATTAATGAAAACCAATATGATGGAGTGTGTACAAGAGGGTTTTGAGGGAAGAAAAAGAATGGGAAGATGATGTAATTATAAGTTCAAAACAAAACAAATTTGTAAAGTGAGAGGGATCCAAATAAGAACACAAAAATTCCTGAATAGTGTACAAACCCACCAAAAATTGTCAACATCATCAGTTGCCAATGAAATGCAAATTAAGCCCATAACACAAAGAAAACGCTACTGCCACAGGCACAAGGAAAGGGAAAGATGAGAAACAGTGGGGATGTGGGGCGCTGAACAGTCTGTCTTGCTGCTAAGTATACAAGATGACACTTTAAAAAAAAAAAGAAAAATTGTTTCGTAAAGTCTAAAAATAAGTGACTAAATGTATACAATCTATGGCTCAGAAATCCTACTCCTACAAATAGGGCCAACAGAAATGCCTAATATTTCTCCCTGTGTATCAGTACAGACAGAAGATACATTTATAATAGCCAAAACTTAGTAACAACCCCAAAACTCCTTCAATAGTCCAGTAGGCAAATCACAGCATATCACATTTCACACTGGTGTTAATGCAAAAGAGTTCATGAAAATGACTGCAAACATTTAAAAAAAAAAAATCTAACCCCTAGTTGTTAACTCATTTTAATGTCAATTGCATATACCCACAAAGATTTTTATTTAAAATAAAGGCAACCTGTGGTCAAAGCTCAGTTTCTTCTTGCTTTACTAAGCTTCCTATCATCTACACTTTGTAGGTGATTGGCACCAACTGCACCTGCCTGGCATAATTCTACAGAATGCCGTGTGGTTTGCTTTTCCCTGATCTGTGTCCCCAGCATCACTTTTTGGAGCTTGAAACTGGTCTTCCTGGAGTAATTATCCTGTGCAAACACTAAAAACCATTATCTTTATTCTCATCATTTTTCTTTATTTTCTTCCTCAAAATAAAATCTAATCATTATATACTTACCACACCGCAGTGCACATTCATATACTGGAAAGTGACAACTGAAAATGAATGCAAAGTTGCCTTTTGAAACAATAAGAATAAATCTATATAGTGAATGCAGGTCAAAGCAAGGCTTTCACAACAGATGATGTCATATATGTTAATTTCCAGACAGGCAATAATGATGATCAAGAGAAAAAAATAATATTTACTTTGTAGGAAGTAGCTGACTGTGTTTAAGTATGAAATAAATTCTAAATATATTCTGCTTTTGGTGATGATTAATCTGTCCATGCACATTCATCAAGTGGTACACTTAAAGGCTGTGCATTACATATGCAACAAAATTAAGAATATACAATTACTCATCCAATAGTACTACTGTTGACATCAAACTGTAAAAAGAGCACAGGCAGTAGATTCTTGGTATCTATAGACTCCAAAGCAAACCAAAAATATTCATGAGAAATATCATGTCTGTATTGAACATATAAAAGATTCTTTCTCTTCACTGTCCTCTAAACAATATAGTATAACAAAGTAGACATGGTGGCAATGGAGAGGCTGAGTCAGGTGTATTGTGATTTCAAGTAGGATATATAGTGAGATCTCTAACAAGAACAAACTGTATAGCAATTATCCGTGAAGCGCTTACACTGTGTTAGGATCATAAATAATCTAGCAGTCATTTACAGCACTCAGGAGAGCATGCAAGGATATACGCAAAGCCTATGTCATTTTACATAAGGAACTTGATCATCCTTGCATTTCCGCATCCACTGGGAGTCCTGAAAATACTGAGGGATAACTGTTTTTATATGCAGATTTTATACATATATATAGTGTCATTAGAATGACTTTGCCAACTTTTATTGGAGTTTATGTGTCAACATAGTTGACAACAGCCAGAAAAAAATCTAACATTCGTGACTTATGTTTGAAAGAGAAAATTCTACTATGAAAGAGTACTCACATGCATTTCCAAAATATATATGTAGAATAAATTACTTTTAGAAATGAATTCTGTTAAAAGATTCAGCTATGACAGTTAACTCTTAGTCAAACTAAGGTCACCTCATAGTTTGTTCTTATGGGAAGACCCACCTGTAGGTTCTGGAGAAAGTTTCCTGCAGTCATCAGTTTTAAAGATTCCTGCCAGGAAGGCATGGTGCAGTTTTTGTCCACGTCAATTTTCACGGCATTGACCTTCCTCTGAAACAGCAGCAGCACACAGTCCATAATCCGCATGATGAGGTGAGGGGGTCGGCCCAGTGTGCGCACTGTGGCGATGTCAGAGGGCTTGATGGTCTGTGGGATGGAAGGGGAGAGCATCCAAACTCAGATACAAAAACGCAGGCAAACAACCTTTCATGTATGAAGGCCACTTTTCAACAAAAGTCAAGCAAAACTTTTAAGAGTCATAGGTGTAGGTCCACGTTAAAGCCAAAAGAAATGAATGTCCTACAAAGTCAAAATTCTTTACAATTTTCATATTATTATTATTTACAATTTATTCACATTGTATCTCAGTTGTAGTCCCTTCCCTCGTCTTCTCCCAATCACTTCCTCCCTATCCCTCGTCCCTAGTCTACTGATAGGGGAAGTCCTATTCCCCTACTGTCTGACCCTAGCCTTTCAGGTCCAATCAGGACTGCCTGGATCCTCTTAGTCTGTAGGCTCACTGGGTCGCCCCAACAGGGAGAAGTCATCAGGAGCAGGCAACCGAGTTCATGTCAGAGACTGTATCTTCTCCCCTTATTAGGGAACCCCCATGGAGACTGAGCTGTCTATGGGTTACATCTGAGCAGAAGGTTTAGGTCCTCTCTATGCATGGTCTTTGGTTGATGCATCAGTCTCTGCAGTCCCCCTGGGTCCAACTTTTTTGGCATTGTTGGTCTCCTTGTGAGGCCCCTGTCCCCTCAGAGTTCCTCTATATCCCCTCTTCTTCCATAAGACTCTCTGTGCTCTGTCCAAAGTTTTGCTGTGAGTCTGTGTATCTTTGATCCCCTGCTGTGTGGAGTCTTTTAGAGGACATCTGTGGTAGGCTCCCATCCTGTTCCCAGAAGCAGAAAGACAAGCATAATATATACTCACTTATATGTGAATATAAGCCATATAATATTGGGTAAACATACTAAAATCTACAGACCTAAAAAAGCTAAACAGGGAGGACCCTAGAGAAGATGCTTAATTTTCATTCAGAAGGGAAAACAGAATAGACACCAGAAGTGGTACAATTATTTTTTTTAATTTGCTTACAAACCTGCAGGTTTCATTCTTAATTGCTAAGAAATTGTATTGTTCATTATGTAATGGGAGTGGTGTGTATATGAGAGTGCAGATGTCTGTGAAGGTCAGAGCCCCACATCCCTCTAGAACTGGAGTTATAAGAAGTTACCATCCACCTACTAGGTGTGCTTAGAAACAGAACCTGAGTCTTCTGCAAGATCCGCACGTGCTTGGAATGGCTGAGCTGTCACTTCAGAAACCTAGTTATAAGTTCCTTAATAACATTTTTCCTACATAGATAGCTTGGTTGACCCTTGTCATTCCTACATTCCTCCTCTCCCCCCACCCTTCTGTCCCCCTTTTGAACACTGAACACTTATACCCCCAGCAGTCTCCATTCCATTCTCACATCCCAATACCCTCTCCACTTCCTTCCCTTAAAGCCTTGTTTATTAGTTTTTTAATTCACGGAACTGGAATTTTATATTTCGTGAGACACCCCAGGCTTGTAAGACACGCCCATGGTCTCTCCCGCTCGCAGATCCTAGTTTCTGGTTTTCATATATGCGCGGGTTTTACTCATGTGGGGTTGGGTGTGCTTAGAGACCAAATTTTTACAATCCTAACAAGCAGCAGGAGGAGAGAAATGTTGGTGAACACATATGGAGCTGTGACAGCCCAGAACATGTACAGACTTCTTTGTGTTAAAAAAAAAAAAGTGCTCTAAAACAAAACAGTCAGCATTTAAGTAGTTATCAGGGTTTGAGATGAGGAAAAATACTGTATTCACAGGGCCTTTCCCTCATTAGCTATGTAGGTCAAGAATCTGCCTCTCTCTAAAGCAACTCAGACTGTCACAGTGGACTGACACCAGAGGGTAGCCCTGGGGCTGACAGGTTGAATAATTAGAGGTTTCTTAGCTGGGAATTGACCTTTAAATGAAGGGAGTTGGGCAATTTGAAATTCACACAGCTCTCAGAAAGGTTCTACTCCAATTCCAGCACAGATATTCTTATGCAGCAAATTACTTAATAATCAGCTGCTTTTGGTTGGTAACAGTCTCTCTGCTGAACTTTTAATGAAATCAGCATTGGGGGAAAAAGATGCATCTAGCACAGGCTTCTTTTCAGAACAAAACAGTTCACATCCCTGTGTGTCTGTGTCTTGAAGCTCTGCATCCCCCGTCAGAGCATGAACTTTCTCTGAAGATGGAGTGCACACTCACACTCCGCTTGGTGATTTGCTGTGAAGAGCTGTGTTTCAACATACCAGCATTTCTGAAAGCTAGGCAGCTAGAAAAGAAAATTGGAGGAGATGAACTGAAAAATGTCAAACCCTTATTTGAGACATGTGACTTCTGAAGGAGGGAATGGGAGCAACAGCCATTGGGAAACTAGGATTAAGTTACACTTTTACAAAAATGCATCACTTACTTATGTTGACAGTTGTGCTCTTATGACAGGCACTGGGTAAAGGAGCTGGAGCTGATGTTGTACCTAGAGACCAATGTGTTTCTGATAAATATTGAATTCAATTTTCTGCAGGTACAGTAATATGAGTCTATGTAAGACCCTATACTTCATGTCAATATAACAGTTATTTGCCACTTGAACATACTTTATTTTTGCTGACAGCTCGTTATAGTTTGATTAAGGTGGGAAGGGACACATACTTCTTTTAAATGATTTATTTACTTGTTTATTTTATGTGTATGCATGTCTCATGCTTATCTAGTTCCAACAGAGGTCAGAGGAGGAAGTTGGGTCCCCAGAACTGAAATGATGGATAGTTATGAGCTACTGTGCAGGTGCTGAGACAAGATCCTCCAACAGCAAGTTCTCTAAACCATTAAGCTATCTCTTCAGCTCCATGGGACATATTCTTTGTTATTGGCTTTTTTCAGATTGACATAGTCTGATGATGCAGTGTTAATGTATCTGGAGTTTTCTAAGGACAGATTGGCAAGACCAGTTTTCAATATCTCAGAAACACAAAGACACGGTAAGATACACGTAGGGTCGATAAAGAAAATAATAGCATTCTCTTCTAGACATGTTCCTGTGGTTTGGTTGCAAAGTGTCCTTCAAAAGTCCAGGACTGGTCCCCAGGGTGATGCTGGACGTGCAGGAGCCCTTTGTAGGTGGGACACAGGAGAAAACCATCACTGAGTCCTGCCCTTTTGAAGGGCACACTGGGACTTTAGCTGCTTCCCTCTTCTTTGTTTTCCTGGTCAAAAAGTGAGCAGTTTTGTTCCATGTTCCTCAGCCATATAATGCTGCCTCCTACCAGACTCAAAGCACTAAAAATGTAAATTAAAACAGGCCTGGTTTCTTCACACCTGTATTATCTTTAGTACTTTTGTTATAGTAACAGAAATTTCACTTGCATATGCCTGATCTTACGTACACATAGACATACTCCTTACTTCTGCTCCCACATATGTCTATACCAGGGGTTATATGATGCAGGATATTTTAGCTATAGAGAACTGCAATTTAGAAGAAGAGTAGAAACATCTTACAATATGAACAGAAGATGCCAACTCTTAACTCTTAGGGAAATGCTGGCCTTCTTTTAAAAAGCAATACGTAAGAAGCTTTATGCTCTAGTTCTATGGTTTTACGTACCCTGAATTTAACAATGTTTTAAAGTTCTGGTGCAGTGCCCTTATCCTCTCTGTTGATCAGATACAGCTGAAGTGACAATACTGTAGAAGAGGAAGGCTGCCATATCCATAGATCTAAGGGGCTAAAGACCCAGAAGGGCTTGATGAATAGAGGGGGCTAGTTTAGCCAGAGTCCGGGGGAGTGAGAAACAATTATGTAACAAATGTCAGATGCAAGTATAGTATAGACAGTCAGTGATAAAGAGAAGGCAATATCTCCATTATCTAAATAGATGGGAAATGCATGTAGCTTTGTTATTGTTGTTTGTGATACTGGGAACTAAACTCAAAGCCTCATATATACCAAGCAGGAACTCCACCACTGAGCTATATTATAGGGCCATAAATGCCTAAAGAAAAAAAGCAAAACAAAATACAAACAAGCAAACAAACAAAACCGAAAGACTTGGATCAAAAAGTGTTGGAAATTTCTCAGGCATCATGCTAAGAAAGTGGTAAGAGAACTTAAACTCATTATCAAGCAATGATCCATGCCCAAACGAGGTCCAAAAGCTTGAGTTAGCAGTGGACATGCAGCATAATTGTTTTTTTGTTTTTTCATCCATTTCTAAGCCAGGATCAATAGCCTAAGGGAATAGATGAGTAGAAATGAATTAAAGGTAATCTTTAAAAAGGAATCCTACATCGATCCTTCCACACTGACCTGCCCTACAGGTCACTGTTTAGCACACAGAACTTATTATACTTCTCAAAATACCACTTTCTTTGTTATTTTATCAGTTCTATTATAGTCACACAATTGCACTTGACTGTGCTGGAAGCTACTCCACCTCATTAATGGGCTGCATTACATCCGCACTCTTTATTTGGACAATTCACAAACAGGATCAAGAGGAAGCTTCACCTCATAGACCACCCACTTCAAAGTCTCCAGCGGGTCAGGAAACATTTTGTAAATGTCATGCAACTTACCTGCTGTCACACGGACTTTTAATGAAAAAGTGGAAGTAACAACACAAGACTCTTGGCTGCCATTCTGTGACAGAGCTCATTATTCCCTTAAAAAATGAGCACAAGATGTCAATCTGTCTGTGTGAGATCTAGAGGGCTGATTTTGGTAGTCTCTGCAGACCCTGTGGCTAGAGCTTTGGTTTTGCCCATATCACTTCCTTGGAAGTACCTGCCACTTCCCTCAGATTCACCTGGAGTGCGGCTTCTGCCTCTTCTAGGGCTGGCTTTGCTGCCTCTAGTTTCTCTTCCGCGATGGCTTTGTCCTTAGAGATGCTGTCCACAATGGCCTGTGCTTTGTCCTTCACCTTCTGTACCTCAGCCTTGACCTTCTCAGCAGCCTGTGCTTTCATTGTGACTTCTTTTAAGACCTAGTTGAATAGAAGAAAAAAAATCTCATCTCGTTTTGCAGGCAGCACACGTTTCTTTGCCTTGGAATGTCGATTTTGTCCACTTACCTGTTTTCATACAGAACAATACGTAGTTTACTAGAACAGAGATACATATCTGAGAGTCCATGGCTGCCCACCTACCGTGTCAGCTTTAGCATTGGCCACTTGTAGTTCCTTTTCTTTTACTGCCAGTTCTTTGCTCAGGGCTGCAACTGATTCCGAAGCTTCTTTCAGTTTTTCCAATCCAGTATTCATTCTGGGGTTGAAAAATCCATGCAAGCAATGTTTAAATTTACGGCAAGTGCTGTTGTTTCCAAGTGTCATTTCACTAGTAAGAACAGCAGCATTATATTTAAGGAGTGAGAATATATAATAAAGCAAACCTGAAACAGCCTCACCTAGGCGGTCTGTCTAGGTTTGGTTCCAACTGGCACGTGCATGTTCACCACCGAATGAAGAATGAATGCACAAACATGGGTGCACAAAGGCATGCGCAGAGCATGAGGAGCCACCATGATCAAGACTACACCACCCCCACCCAGGGCCTACTAACAATGTACTCCAAGTGTTCAAAGCTTTGTTTCCGTGGAAGGAAAATAACTTCTTTTATTTTTCTCTTCAAAAATAGTCCAATAAAATTAAAATGAGTTAGGACTTGAGTTCAAGAAACTAAAATTTAAACTAGAACAGGTGTCAACTAGCTACCTGCATAGATCTGAAATAATGTTTTCTAGAAGATAAGAGGCCTTGGAGCCATTTAGTCAACAACCCATGGACCACTTAAATGTAATCTTGCCTTCTACCCGGGGATGCCTCACATGGCTATCTTGGGTAGTTCTGGCCACTTTCTGGCAGAAAAATGTGAATGTTGAGAAAATATGACACAAAGCAGTGATATTTGGGTCCAAACTTCAGTAACACAGGATATTCACTTTGCATTGACCATAATCATCAGCCCAACCCTTCTACCCTGGCCACAAAGAGGACTAGGATGCTCGGAATAAGAGGACATAGAATCTGTATTCTCCCCTTCCTTTCACATCTGTTATGTAATTCTGTCAATCGAGAACATAAAAAGTGGCAGTCCATTTAAGACCCCTGGAAATACTATCATATTACACAACAATAGAGGCCCCAGGAGCCCAAGCGAATACTCCGCACGGCTCTAAAAGAGGATTCCAAACCTCAGTACCAATGACATCTGGACTGGATGATTTTTTGGTCAGGGGACTGCTGTGACCTCTGTCCTTTGGTGATTATGAAAACATCTGTTACAGTCTAAGGGACTGGAACTTTCGTTGAACCTCACAGAGTAAATAACACATTTTGTGTTCACTTAAGTCTGATCCTGCTGTGTAGTCTGCCTGTTTGTTTAACCTACCTTTAAAAGAAAAATCTAATAACCAGCCCTACAGGTCTTGCATTTCACATTTAATCAACTTTTACAATCTAAGCTAGTGTATAGCTTCAATCTTAAGATACGAACTTTTCCATGCCCCTGATCCAGAGAGAAATGCATGTGTATACCAATGATATGGTAACAAATGCTCAAAACACAATATTTTGAAAGCAACGTTACACAATATATATCCATTATAAATGCTGGAAATAGCATACAGATATTATTTGATAGTATTTATTTGTTTGTTATATGGGTCAGTTGGACTCAGTTGATGTCAGTGATTTAATACCTTTTAAGACCCTGTTAAAATTTTCTATAAAGTATCTCTCATTTTTCCCCATTTGATATTCTCTGTGCTGTTCAATAAATAAAGAGTAAAAGCTCTTTCTTAGGGACAGATGTGGACATGAGGACAGACAAGACAAGACAACATTCAGGCAAGTACTATTCAGACTCATAAACAGATAAATTTTAGATGAGAGAGACAGTGGGAGACACAGGAAGAGGAGAAGAGAGCACAAATCTGAGTTCATTATTGACCAAACTACTCCAAGGGAAAGTGCTTTTATTTCTTTGCTTTATGCAACATTGATGCATTTTTGGTACACTGAGGTTAACATTAATGCATTTGTAATAATGAATTTTGGTGACCCATATAAGGAATGTGCTAAAACTGATGCACTGTCCTTTAGGTACCAATAGTGTTGACCCCATACTACCCTACCTTTAGAAGCCCATCTGTGACAGCCGACAGTGTCTCTGGTCCCTTCAAACTGTATCCAAGCAACAATTTGGCCCTGGGAGAAGAACTAGTGCTTCAAGATGACTCTTGTTTGACCTTCACACTCACCTGTTGGCCAGGCTTTGCACTTCCATGTGTTTTTCCCCATATATGAATTTATAGGCCTGAATAAAGGAGAGGTATGATTTGGGAGTCACGTGGGTAGAGCGCCGGAACCTCTGGAAATAATCAGAACACTTCTCAGCCACCCCATCCTGAAAGGAGCCCATACACTCGACCACTTCCTTCTTGATTTCCACACTGCAGTTGATATTGTAGGATGAGAGGAAGTGTTCCGACACTAGGAAAAGTAAAAAGATGACAGTGTGAAACAGGAACACCAATTGCCGGTTTCAAGGTTGTCTGGCTGTGTTTAAAAGAGTCCTTTATTTCCTAGGTCCGAATGTAGTCTTTGTTGCCCCAGGAAGTAATAGCTTTCAGTACTTTGGGTCCCAGACCTAAGACATCAGCAAGTTTATTGTCCCTTTCAAATATAACACCATAAAAACTTTAGACTTGTCACCATTTCCTTGCTTTCTGGAGCTTGCATAGAGCAGTCTCCTCTATGCCAGCCTGCTTTATAGGTTACCCAAGAAAAAAAGTGATACAAATACCTGAGACATCAGTGCTCACCTGCCACTCAGACCCACTTATTCTTTTTTCTAACTTGGAACTTGTCAGGCCTTTAATTCTCTTCCACTCAAGCTGCCCTTGTCATGCGGAAATGTTTACTGCATTTGTTTTTCAGTGCAGTAATCTGCCCTTAAAAGCTGTGACTGGTCATTTGTGATCAGACCTAATTTACAGAACCCTTTTAGAGATGTCTGGGTAAAACTCTTCCTATTAGAGACTTTTACCTTGCCCATGAGGTCTAACAGTGAATCTATTATAAAGACGCACTCATGTGATAAGCACAAGCCTGTTATGGGCAGGGTGGCAAATGCCTTTGATCCCAGTACTGAGGAGATTGAGGCAGGTAGATCGCTTGAGTTTAAGCCCAGTCGGGTCTATATAATGAGCTCTACTATAGTGAGCCCATGTCTCATGCAACCAAAAATAATAAGCCATATAGTAAAATCAAATCTATTGTCACATATGTACTGTGTTCTCACTGTTTATCCATGACTGAAATGGGTGAGAGAGAAATATAAGACACAGTCCGAACTTCATAGAATGTTTCAAAGATTATGTATAATATATTTTTAAGTTATTGTAAGTATTTTTATAAGAAATATCCTATGTGTATAAGAACTGAAAATGGAAATATGACCAATATAAGTAGCAGAGAAAGAAAAAACAATCTAGTGAGCCAGAGATAGATAGCATAGACTATTCTTAAATAGTAGCCTTTTAGCACTAATATCTGATCAGTAAATTAAGTTCTCAGTGGAAGATAACAGAGACCACTCATCAAATTGCTTGAAAATAAAATTTACTAAATACTAAAGGGCAAGAAATTAAAAGATCTGTGACTCACTCATGTTTCCCAAACAAGTTAATCAAGTGTTGTAAAGAACAGCTCAAATCCCAGTAAGTTTAAATCTAGGCATTGGAAACATGAAGGATTCATACCTTTGAAAGAATTGTTGTTTATTTTTGCAATGTTAGGCATGAAGGCCAGAGCCTCACATATGATAGACAAGCGTCCTACCATGAGCTTTCTCTTCAGACATTCTAGGAAAGTTTACAGGTATTAGCCACTTAATGCTCTTTTAAATTGGGAATATTACCCAAAATCTAAATAAAATGCTAACATTAAATACAAAAATGAAAATGGGTTAAGTATTCCTCATTTAAAATATTTGTTCTAAAACCTTTTTTTTAGCATTAAGCAGCTGCTTAAAATGTTTTAGATTTCAAGTCATTAGTGATTTTCAAATTAATGTTTAATCTTTATTTCTAAATTTTTGATAGAGATAATACTAAATTCAAAATTAATATTCTTAAAAGGGGCATAAAGAGTTAAGAGGGTAGAGACCAGACCTTGGTAGAGCAAGGGCAAGAAGACAGAGTGACAGTAGAGAAAAGAGAAACTGGGGTTGTGGTATCTCTGTGACAAGATGGAGATCCAAGTCACGGTATGTTCCTGGGAGGATATGATGGGGACTCAAGCAGAGACTCTTAGTAGCAGAAGCCACAGGAACTGAACAGGACAACCACTAACTAGACTAGTCCCCTAGCAGAGAGAGGGGAACACCAACCCACCCACAAAATCTTCAAGCCAAAATTTACCCTGCCTACAAGATGGAGTAGAGATTGAGGGAATGCCCAACTGATGCCTGGCTCAACCAAAGACCCACCCTTTGGGAGAGTGCCAACCCCTGACATCATGAATGATACTCTGTTAAGCTTGCATACAGGAGCTTGTCAGAGTTATCCTCTGAGAAACTACCCAGCAGTGCTTCAAAATAGATGCTGAGACTAACAGCCAAACATTGAGTAATGCATAGGGAGTCTGGTGGAAAAGTAGGAGGAAAGGGAAAAGAACCTGAAGGTGACAGAAGCTCCACAAGAAGACCAACAGAGCCAACTAACCAGGACCCAGAGGAGCTTGCCGAGACTGAAGCATCGACCAAGGTCTTTTCATGAACTGGACTTAGGCCCCCTACAAAGATCTAGCATATGGGCAGCTTAGGCCTCATGTGGATCTCTAATAAGGGAAGTGGGGACTGCATCAGACATGGACTAACTTGGTAGCTTTTTGATCACTTTCTCCTGGCGGACTGCCTTACCAGGCCACAGGGGACTAGGCCATGCTCAGTCCTGATGCAACTTGATGAGCTGGGGTGAATGGGAAAAGGAATTCCCCTTTCCTGATGAATAGGCAAGGGGGTAAGGAGAAGGAAAGAGAGTGGGACTGGAAGGGTAGGAAGGATGGGGCAACAAACAGGATGTAAAGTGAATAAAAAATAAATTGATTTAAAAAAACATCCTTAGGAGAATTGAAATAATACTTTTTCTAGAAACCTCATCATAAATTTTCTTTGTGTATGTATGTGTGTATGGGTGTGTGTGTGTGTGTGTGTGTGTGTGTGTGTGTGTGTGTGTGTGTGATTTATGTACAGACTGAGACAGTTAAGTACAAGTGTAGAGGCCTGAGGAGGCCATTGGGATCCTGCTGTATCACTCTCTGCCTCGTTCATTTGAGACAGGCCCTTGCACTGAATCTGCAGCTACGCTGGCATCCAGCAAACCCTAGTGGGTCCTTCCCTTCCTTTCCCCAACACACACACACAACGGTGGGATTACAGCGACACCTGGGTTTTTACATGGAGTCTAAGGATTACCAAGTTTTTTTTTTTTTTTTTCATGCCAGGGCAGCAGTAAAGCCAATGAGAGAAAATCCTTCTGGTCAACTTAGAGACCTAACATTTCAGGTGGGCCTGGTCAACCACCTGGCCAAAGTAAAATAAGAAGGTGAGTTCACCTTGCACCGTGGTAAAGGAGGGGAGGAATAATAAGTTCTTTAATGAGATGATGTATTTTTCCTTTCCAGAGTTTTTCATCCCTAGCTTACACAGCAGTTCACTAGGCCACAACCAAGCAGCTCTATAAGGCTGCCTGCTTTTCTAAATGATCCAGAAAAGTGTAACTTCTCCTTCTATCTCTTTTCTAAGCACACTTTCCCTAACACTCTGGGCTTCCCCAACATCTTTGGCTTCCTTACTCTTTCTCCAAAGTTCCCTCCCCACAATCTGGCTGCTTGTACATCACTTGTCTGACCTGCATGCCAGCTTAGCCAAGGTCAGACAAGTGATGTACAAGGGGAAAGTCCGGCCTTCTACCTTTTCTCCTGGGCAGCTGCTGAGATATATAGCTCTCTCATTCTAGGTTTTTGTTTGCTTTTAATATATAATAAAAGTGTCTTTAAGCTTTTGTTTGAGTTCATTCTTAAGATCTTTCATTAATGAGACCCAGGTAGAGATGTGGATTTTTCCCTGTGACACTTATCAACCTAATCTCTGTGTATTAAAATACCTGTTATGAAGGTTAGGAGCATGCCACAGAGGGCCTCTGGAGGGCTTTGCCCTGCAAACTATCAAAGCAGATGGTGAGAATTATGGCCAACTGTTGGGCAGAGTGCATGGAATCTTATGAAAGAAGTGGGAAATGGTAGGATCTGGAGAGGACAGGAACTCCACAAGTTGAGCAACAGAACCAGAAAATTTGAACACGGGTCTTTCCAGAGACTCATATTCTAACCAAGTACCATGCATGGAGGTGGCCTAGAGCTTCTGCACGGATGTGGCCCATGGCAATTCAGTGTCCTGGTGGGTTCCATAGTTATGGGAGGAGGGACTGCCTCTGACCTGAACTGATGGTCCTGCTCTTTGATCACCTCCCCCTGAGTGGGGAGCAGCTTTGCCGGGCCACAGAGGATGATAATGCAGCCACTCCTGATGAGATCTGATGGACTAGGATCAGAGGGAAGGAGAGGGGGACCTCCCCATCAGTGGACTTGGGGATGGTCATGCATGGAGAAGGAGGAGGGAGGTGGGCTTGGGAGGGAAGGAGGGAGGGGTTTATGGGGGGATACGGGGTGAATAAAGTGTAATTAATAAGAGTTTAAAAATACCTGTTATATATATATTTTATATATATATGTATATATATATATATATATATATATATATATATATATATATATATAT